GGTCATGACCCCCATGACCCCCCTCCTAGATCCGCTCTTGCGTTGTGGGATTAATAATTAATCCGAATAAAAAACCTTCAGTATCTACAAAAGTCGTGGAACTTCGTAGACGAAAAAGTACCTGGAAGTGCAAATAAACTTGCCCAATAATCTGCGCCCACTAAGCGATATTTAAGCACAGTTCGGCCCTTAAAATACATAAGTATGGAAATAATAGGTTTTCACCCCATCTCATGACTAATGTATAAATGCAAACATGATTTGGCGCCGTCTTTAAACAGCACGAAACCATCAGTAAGTCAATTCGAAATTCCCTAAATGTGTGATAAATTATTTAAATGCCCATTTCGTACGCACTTCTATTCAGATTGTTTATAGAAACTGCCCAAACTTGTTTTTTTATCTGGTTACCTCTTGTCCTTCGCTGCTTTCTTCGCTGGCGCTACTGGCGGACTCTGAAGCTGAAGGACTATTTCCTTCACTTTCTTCGTCTTCGCTCTCGTTGCTGCTTCCTTCTTCTCCATTTCCGTTTGCTAATGAAATATCTACGGGAAAAATCAATACCATCACTTTGAAAATCAGCTATGTGCTTTTTCGCAACAACTGCTGCTTGAGTTTTTGCGCAACAACTGCTGTTTGACCTGCAAAGCTTGCAAAGCCTTTGAACTAAGAAAAAATGTCGTTTATCACAATTTTGAACGTCAGTGAATAAAAAAATGCGAACTTAATGAAAAACTAATATTCTTCTTGCCTCGTTTCGACAATGCCCTTAAACACGCTGCACTTAAATTGGCAAAAGCACGGTTGGCAAGTACCTACATTTGAAGCTGAATTGCCTCTTTTGCCCAGTTCAGTTTTAATATAACTTAACAATTACCCAGTTTTCCCCGGCAGGTTTATTCATGCCGGAATATTTCGTCAAGCTTTTGCAATTTTGCTAAAAATTTCAAGTGCTTTCGCTTTGGCTTTCAGGTTTTGAAACTAAGCCCATTTTAGAGTTAATTGGGTATTTTTCAAAGCCGAAGCACAGTGCAGACTGAACGGGTTAATTATTTTTTATTAATTACCCAACACATTTCCAAGCCAAAGTAATAAAATTAAGGCTAACTTGCGACTTACTTTGTTTTAACTTTTCCAAGATCAAGGGGTAGAACTCCTTAGCCGTTGCATTATTTGGCTCATATTGCAAAACTGAAACAGACTGTTCAATATTTCCAGTATCAGTAGCAATACTGAAACTTACTTAATTTGCAATACTTGAGCGCGGTCAGGTAATCCTTTAGCATAACAGCCGATAAAAACTGCAAGGAAAATGTACATAATTCAATTTTTAACAGTCTAAAGGTTTAATTGTGGTACTGAAATACCTCGGCTAGAAACTCAGTTGGAGCCGATATGCTTTCATCGGCATCAGTGTATTCGCTCAGATCTTCATTGCTACTGGAAGTCGGCTTCAGAATTCCTCCAATGTTGCCGTTGTCCTCTGTGGTCATCTTCAAACGAAGACTAGAATTGGAAAACGGCGGTTTTTTCACATGTACTGGCATTTTGAAAATAGTCCGAATAATATTGCTTTTACCCACGAAAATTTTGACTTTGATGCAACTTTGACTAGATATACCTAGTTCATGTACAGGGATAACCATTAACGTCTCAGCTTACTTTAGATGCTTAAATTCTCCCCTGAAAATATGCGGGATGACTAATAGCTTCACGCCCGAATTTTAATGCCAGGAAACCTCCAAACATTAGCATTAAGCTTTTTTGTCTTCTTTGAACCACGTTTTAATATCCCTGTGCTCAAGCTGGAAAAATCGTTCGCCCGCTTGCTTTTATTCTGCTGTGTCTTCACAAAAACGATCATCTCTCAATAAAGGCTGGATATAGAGTTTATGAGACGTGCTCATAAGACGTGATTTTATCCGGCGGCTTTTTACTTATCAAAGTGCTTCCGCCTCGACAACTACAATTGATTTTTAGCCAAGGCTCTTAAATTTGCCTTTAGTTTTCCAGTGCGGATCTAAGATAAGTAAAAGTGATAAATAGACCAAAATATTATTTATTGTTTAACAATTTTGTTAAATGTTGCACCCAAATAAACTACAAAATAAAGCTTTGAAACTTTGACTTTTCCGGGACCCATCTTTGAAGGGGTTGAGAATTTCAGATGAAATCTCATTAGCTAATATAGTTGGTTATCGAAAAGGTTCTAACGACTGATTGGATTTTTCGACCCGTTGCTGATATACAGGGTGTTTCCACTTGCGGGAGCCCCCCACTTACTCCCATTTTGCTTCTATCTTTTTGATGGTTAGTAATTGCTGATGAAACCTAATTGGCGTAAGGTAGTTCGAGCTGGCTTATGAAAAACGCCATTATGATTAACCAGGTATTTTGAACCGTTGACGGGATATCGCCTGTTGAACATCGACATGTCCTAACAACCTGATATTTCCGCACCTAACTTTGAAACAGTAAGAAATTTCGGATCAACTCTAACTAGGCAAATACAGCTTTTGAAAATCTCTATCGAAAAGGTCCTAATGGTTTGTTCAATTTTCCCAACCGTCTCTGAGATACAAGTGAAAACTTCAGTAGCAAAAGATAGGTATCAAGACGGGCTATCCAAAACGTTATATCAAATTGTTTGATATTTCCAACCGTTGGGGAAATATCGCTTTTAAGAACGTTCAGACGCCCGGAAGGGGGCGAAGCCCTACGCTGACTTGCAATTTTTCCGCCCCAAAAGTGAGGATATTTAATACTCTTTCGAAAAGCTCTTAACGGCGGATGCGATATTTGCGGCCGTTTTCAAGTTAAATGCACCCAAAAAAAATTCTGAAAACTTGCCCTGTTCTGATTTCGAAAATCCTTAACTGCAAACCAAACAGCCTTAAAGAGAAATAAAATTAAATCAACTAAGCAATATTTTTGCCTGTGTGTGAACAAAACTCGGAGAAGTCTGTATAGAGCGGATGTTTTTCTCTATAAAAAATGTACAGAGTGCACTATTGATCAAAAAACGCTAAACCCCGATGTCGTTGCACCTTTTCAACTATTCAAATCAACTTCCTGGATACAGTGTTTATAAGGGCAGACATAAAGGGGAATAGCCCAGAAGTTGCCGTGTCAGCATGACTTTGTTTTAAATTATCGCGAAAGCTTTTCCAGTCATCCCCTATTTTGTTTTTAATTTTCCTGTTTATTGTAGACAACATATTAATCGGCAACTTTGGTTCTTCCAGTTGTGGTGGATAAACTGTTCATTATTGCACTAGGGTCTTTAACAACTGCGTTTTGAAAAGTATTATTTTTATAAACAAACAAAACAAATATTGAAGTTGTATAAAAATGGCACAAATTCCCGAGTTGTTTCGTGTTTTCTTTCTTTCTGAAACCCAACAAGGCTTCAATTTTCAGTAAAACAAAAACTAGATAGAAATGGACATGAAAGACAGCGCCGTTTGCACCAAACGAATTCTTTTGATTTAGATCAGAGAATTTTCAAAAAAAGCTCTTGCTTTGAAATGTAAATGCAGTCCAAAGGCGAGCGCATTTTACCATATTATTAATCTGCCTTAAAAAGATTTGCAATTCACTCCTAAATTGCTTCGAGAAGAATAATGCTTAAACACGGTCTTTCTGAAAAGCCACAAAAATTCATTTGTTTATACATCAGTTCCTTTAACGTGATTGTATGAAAGAATGTACATTCAAATTGGACTGTCTGATTGAGAAATGGGCACATTTGAATCCCACGGAAAAATGTGTTTGGTAAAACTGCCAGGTCCTATGCCAAAAGTGAAAAATAACAAATTCTCCGCTATTGTTAGGAAAAGTAAAAGTTGGGAAATATGGTAATATTTCCGGGAATTTCAAAACTACTTTCGTAATGCGTTTGCCGTCAATTCGCGAAAAGTCGAATATTTATGTTTCGGATTCCTGTAAACGCCTGTATGACTGCCAATTTTGTGCTGTTTTCCAGAAATCGGGAAGCATTGGCAAAAATCGGAAAAAATAAGACACACATTTAAAGCATTTGTGTTGAGCAAATAAAATCAAATGAGCTGTAATGTCAATTTTTGTTCAATCAATTTATTTTTAATACAAATTTTCATTGAGAGTGAAGTTTTCTCGTAATTACAGCGCGAATACTTAATTGTCCAAACATCGAAAGTCACTAATAATATTTGCTGACCGGCATTTATCAGCACTTATTTTTTAAAACTCAAAATAAGTCGGTTGCTATTTACATTCGACGGATGTTCCATTAAACAAGCCTTCATGAAATAATCGGTAATGTTTAAGTACTCGTTAACTACCTCTATATGTTAAAGTTAAGCAGCGCTTAGTTTGAAATCCAATTATTCCTCTGAACAAACAATGATGAATAGACGAGGGCTCCAACAATGAAGTACAAAACATTTTGTAGCCAAAAGATTGGAAACTAATAGTGTTCTTGCTACAGAGGCGAAATTCAATCAGGATCCATTCAGATAAATTTGGCGCCGCATAAGACTCAACGAGGTAGAAACTGATAATGAAAAGTTGAGCCGGATATTGGAAGGGAACCAATTTTTTCTACTCAGACGCGTAAATCATAAAAGCAAATGTTTAAGCGCTCAGATGAAAAATATGTTTACTTTTGCACCTGCAATAATCTACATCTACGAACTGAATTTGGAACGTTAAATTTTTAAACTAATTTTCAATAATTATCCCCCGGAAACTTTCTCGAATAATTTAGAGGTAATAAATCAATCTCAAGAGCTTGAACACGAAAAGTGGCACATTTACTACATATTTTCCCCACTAAAAGACGTTCCACAGTCTTCAGGCTTAGATATCTAGTTTGCCAGCTTCCGGAAGGATGCGTCTCGATGTCTTAAGACGTATCTCCGCAAGGGAATGCCTATTTAATTATTCATGCCAGCTGAATATTGCGCAATTTGCATTGCTTTGAAACTTTCATGCATTTTTAATAGGCGGCTGTTAAAAAGTATAAGTAAATGTTAATTTTAAAACAGCAAGGACGGCATGAAATCTCATATTTTTGTATAAAAAAATCACAGATTTTCACTTTTTTTGCGACCCAAAGGTGCCTTTGAGCGTCGTTTTGCAAGGAGAATAAAATCGCAAAGCTGAATTTATCAATAATTACTAATTATTATTTATTTGAAACCAAATTTCTCCGAGATAAAAAAAAAGAATTACATTGCAAAACTGGATGCTCCAAGACATTGATTTTCAGTTTCCGGGACAATGCAACAGTTTTTTTTTTTTTTTGTAACAAACCGCGCATTTTGAGAGAACAACTTAAGAGAGCTTTTCTCTTTGACATTAGTAGGGAAATTCAAAAACGATTTTTATTGGGAAAAATATTTAACAAGACGAAATAAAATAAATTTTATTGTGAAAAATATTTAACAAGACGAAGACAAATGTTTTTGCAGAATTGTCTTGTCTAGTAATTACATTGATTTTGCTTTTCTGGAAGAATAACGCTATTTCTATTTTTTTAATCAAAAACCGCGCTCTTAAAAAAGGAAAACAACTTAAAAGACCTTTTCACTTTCAAGTTGTTAGAGCAATTCAAGAATAAATATAATTTGGAAAAAGCGTATCAGGGCGAAAATTAATGTTATTTCTAAATTGTATTCTCCGATAACTACATTAATTTTCAATTCATTATCTGGGCTTCTCTGGGGTACTCTTTCATTCTCTGCACAAGGGTTTTTAATTTTTTCGTCAAAAACCATGTACTTTTCTGAAGAAGCTTACGAAAGATTTTTTCTCCTAACTAATAGGAAAGTTCAAAAATAAGTGCTATTTGGCAAAAACTTCTATAGGACGAAAATTAATGTTATTGCAAAATTGTCTTCTCCGATAACACACCGATTTTCATTATCGGGCCCAATGCAAGTTTTTTTAATTTTTTCATAAAAAATCATGCAATTTTCTAAAAAAACTCAAGAGAGCTTTTTCCTTCTAGCTAATACTAAAATTCAGAAATAAGTTTTATTTGGCCAAAACTTCAATAGGACGAAAATGAATGTTACTGCAAAATTGTTTTCTCCGATAATTACGCCGATTTTCATTCTCGGGGACAATGCAAGTGTTTTTATTTTTTTCTTCAAAAATCATGCAATTTTCTAAAGAAACTCAAGAGAGCTTTTTTCCTTCTAGCTAATAGGAAAATTCAAAAATAAGTTTTATTTGGCAAAAACCTCAATAGCACGAAAATGAATGTTACTGCAAAATTGTCTTCTCCGATATTTACGCCGATTTTCATTCTAGGGGACAACGCAAGTGTTTTTATTTTTTTCATAAAAAATCATGCAATTTTCTAAAGAAACTCATTAAAGCTTTTTTCCTGCTAATAGGAAAATTCCAAAATAAGCTTGATTTGGCAAAAGCTTCAACAGGACGAAAATAAACTTTAATTCAAACTTGTACTCTCCAATAATGACATTGATTTTCCTGTTCTGGGCCAAAACAACGATTTT